AGAAAAACGGGGGCCGAGGCAGAACAGCAAGTTTCGCGACCGGTAACACGAAGTTTTACACACTTGTTCGAGGTTGCCCCCATGTTTCTTTCACCATAGTGGCGCATGTTCAACAAGGCCAGCTGTAGCACACCCGGATCGAGGCACAGCCCCTCGAAATCCGGGTGGCTTGTCACGCAGCTCTGCCGGCCCTGCTGCTTGCGAACGGCGGCCGGGTAGTCACGGCAGCAGACACACTCTGCGACGGTTTCCATCGGCACGCAGCAACTGCATTGGCACCTTAAAACAGAAAACCAGCATCAGCTATACATATGAGAGGTATAATAAACAGCTCATCACCTACCAGTTGGTGTTCCCAAGCCGCTGGGTTGCGTCGTCGGTTTCGTCGTCTTCCTCCGTTGTCGACATTGAGCATCGCGAAGTGTCGTCCGAGTCCGTCGCGTTCGAGGCATCGGCGTCGCGCGTAGGAGTGACGTCGTAGCAGATTGAGCTGATATCTGCCGTCCGCCGAAGAATTTCCACCTCCAACGGTGTTAGATTTGGCAGGTCCCTCTCCGCACGACGCAAGACCCGAAGTAAACAAAATGAGTCCCAACGAGAATCCATCAAATACGCGCACATTCGGAAGATCACTCCGCCGGTTCGAAGGATCAATCCGCCGGGAAGCCGTCACTCGTGATTGAATGGCGCACGCCCTTCCCTGCTGCCTTACCGTCCGACAGCACCCCTGACGGCGTGCGCCTAGGCGCAGAACAGCGATCTTTGATTGGATTTTTAATAGGGAAATCGGCCGCCCTTGAACGTAATTTTGGGATTTCTAGGATGCTTAGAGCCCGCAGATTGAGTTATGACAATAAATAGACGATCTCAGAATCCACTTGAGTGCCCCTTTAATTAAGACCCGACTGAAACTTTCAATCATTCCATTCACTTGCGGATAGTGTACTAAAAACAAGCAGTGCCGGAATTCCCCTTTCTTGAGGAAAATTCTCGAACTCCTTGGATTGAAATTGCGTCCCCTTATCTGTTACAATCTCCTCGCGGTACCCTTCCCTGCTGAACACTAAGCGCAGAAACTCGATGACCGTTTGAGAGGTCACATGGCTTGTAAAACAGAGCTCAGGCCATCTCGAGTGATACTGTATACCAGTGTCATCACAAACGTTTTGTATGGTGGTGCTCGAGCCAGTGGTCCGACAATATCCATGGCCAACTTCTGCCATGGCCGATCCGGTAAAGCAACCGGCTGCAGCGGAGCGGGCACAGGCTTCGCAGACTTAAACATTTCTAAAACCCAAGACGGAGGCTACAAAGAGGAGACAAACACAAAACGTAGCCTCCGTCTTGGGTTTTAGAAATGTTTAACTTCAACCAGCTCGCCTGCCTTATTACGTTATCTTTGCAAACTTGTCTGCTTCCTAACAAACGTGGCAGTTCTGACTTTTAACTCCACTTGACGGTCCATGCGAGGCCACCAAAACCAGTCCCTGAGCCTTTGCTTTGTCCGCACAATACCAGGGTGGGCTTCATGTGCATAGCGTATACGCTGTGGACATGAAGCCCATTCTGGTAGTGTGCGGACAAGGCAAAGACTTTGTCGCCGTGATGGTATACCATCAACGGCGTCAGAGCTTCAGGTATGATCACTTTCTCCTCCCGCAGCACAAACTTGTCAACCACCGACAGTTCTTCCTGAACGTGGTAAAATGGAACAAGCCTATTGGCCAGCGACTTCTTTGAGGGCTATCCCTCGTGGACGAAACGCACAACGTCCGGCAGAGTAGCATCTGCTGCGGTTGCTTCTTGCAGCCGTTCCTTGGCTACACATGATGTAACATTGGAGACTATATTCTCTTTCTCTTGACCTGTAAAATCTTCCGCTGACAACCGTGACAACGCATCAGCCACGCAATAGACCCTTCCCGGAATTCAGTGCCATCTGGTGACTCAAATCGCAGTTTCTTTTACTATACTAATGGCGGCAATGAACCTGTGGTCTGCAGTATTTAGCAGGGCACCGTCACTTAAAGGTCAACGGTAAACGAGAATGTGAACTTCACAATTATTTTTCAGTCTCTTTTAGTGTCGATGGCGAAACAAATGCAGCCAGTCGGAACGAAACGCCAACCCATATAGACGCCTTGATAGAGTTCTATACATCAAGTGGCTTTGAAGCCGAGTAAGTGCTACTAACAGATTGACTGGGACCGAGTTAGAAATGAATGCTTACGCAGCTCTTGCGTCCAATTTCTGCTTCACGCCGCGCTAACATCTAGAATGTATAGGCTTCGAATCATCTGCTTAGGAGCATCTTCAACTTCTTCCTTCATCAGTAAACGGAAGGCCGCCATTAGTATAGCACATATGCCGTTTTCAGATGATGATGATATTAATCAAAGTGGCCAGACTGAATTCCGGAAAGGGTCTATTGTCCGCGCCCTGCTAGCTGGTACTCAATGTCGAAGTTGTAATACAGCAACCGTGCAGACCATCTTGATATTTGCAATGGCCGCGGTGTCCCGATTCCTTGGATGCCAGCAAAGTCGCCAGTGCTTGGTGATCTGTTCTCAATATAAAACGACGTCCCCACAGGTAAACGTGCCAGTGCTCACACTCAAAAGCACGAGCCAACGCCTTTCTCCCCCCCACAGAGTACCTTTTCTCAGCAGAAGACCGAGTCCGTAAAGCAAAAGCCACGGTGTTGAGCTCCCTGCCATACTGTTGCTGTAGCACAGCGCCCAGCCCCTTGTTTGACGCATCACTCGTCACCACGATAGATAGATCAGGCTGGCACATTCGTATCACTGGCCTAGATGACAGAACAGCTTTCACTTGATCAAATCTGTGCTGTCATCTGGGCCAGTGATACGGATGTTCCAGCCTGATCTATCTGTCGTGGTGACGAGTGATGCGTCAAACAAGGGGCTGGGCGCTGTGCTACAGCCACCATCCTCGTCACCAATGTATAATTGTAAGTGATTGGTGGAAAGGGGGAGTTTCAAGGTCCTGAGTGCGTTTACTGAGTCAGGAAAGGTGACATTGACGAGACAATTTCCTGAAATATGAGGCGAAACTGTGAATGTTTCCCTCGGGCCTTCGGGGTTTGGGTCAAAACTTCCACGAGCCGAATCTTCAGTTTTTACCGTCCACTCCGTCTTGGCCGCTGCAGCGAGTGCAAAGATTGTTTGCGTTCTGAACGTCGCCCTAACGTCAACGTCACTTGCGTTGTCCTTTCAGTTACGAAGAGTCGCAAATTTCAACTCTAACGTGCCGAAATTATATACTTGAACAGATTCTTACTATATAGAAATTGTGATTGGGTATTTATTAAGCTGATTCCCTCCGATAGGGGAATATCTCTGGCCAGTGGTTGATCACAAGAGCTGTCAATCATCGCACCCAAGGTCAGTGAAACGATTTCGGCCAATGACGCGTGCCGTTATTTTCGCTTTATTCTTACCAATTCATATAAAACATCTCTACAAAAAACGGCTTTAACCGCGCGGCTTTATTTATATAGATCAGATTCGAGCGACGCGGCGCTGCGCGGAAGTGGCGTACGTAGGAACGCCAGCACGGTTGCTATGGGTTGCACAGTGGAGAGAATGGCGTTGGGGAAAAGTCTTTTCGGTTTACGGACACAACCCATTTCCGCTTTAGATCGGAGTCATGTGGAAAGCGATGAAGCTTAGACATTGCAGCCGCATTCGCCGGATTCCGTGCAAACTAGATAGGTCCTCGGACAGAAGTCGATGCTTTCTGCCGTTATTCGTGCACCCTAACCGAGCGATGGTGTCCCGATGACCGGGGGACTATCGCCATCCAAGCCCGTGGCTTTAATCGACCTTTTCCGAGAAGCGTTCTGCGCACGCGCAAGCGCCCGATGCCAAGCGGCGGAAGTCGTAACGAAAAATCGAGGAAATTCGGAAGGAGGCTGTATATCAGCGAGTGGAACACGTAACTGCAGTATATATAATTGTGTTACACAAAAAAAGAACGTCGACGGAAAGGAAAACACGACGTTTGGGTGGACGCCACGGATGCCCCTCTTTAAAGTCGCGTTGGGCAGGCGCCGCTGCTCAGAGAGCGAAGAAACTGGTAGCGTAGCTCCCTATATCGATTGGTAGCGCAGGCAGGTCACTTCCTCGATTTTTAGTTCGTGCAGCCACCGCCTGGTGCCGTCGGTATGTGGAAAAGGTCCATTAGGTTTGAGAGTTTAAAGCAGAAAAAAAAGCGCGAACGAAGTTCGGGCAGCACATACACCCAACACCGGCGAAGCTTCTCACCCGGGACTTTCACTCTTTCGAACGCACCAGCAAGGGGCGAAAGTGCCGATAGCCCTTCCCGTCTTTTCTCTCGCTCTCAAAATAGCGCTACTCACGATAAAATAGTCTAGGGTTATACGTCAAAGTTTTGTCGTATTATGTTGCCAGATCAGCTTCATGCGAACATAGTGAAGGTCACATTTGTGAAAAATTTATTGTGCGGTTTCACTTCATCTGATGTCACATTTGACCCGGTAAATTAAAAAAAAAAAGTAAGCAAATATGGCGACGGAGACTCAGTAGTAGAGAAAGGGGATCAAGTTCCCCTACCTGGTTGTTCTTACACATTTAAACTGTTGTACACTATGCTAATAGTTCAAATCGTTCGACTTGGGTTGAGGCCGAAGTGCCTCGGTGGCGGGTGTTTCAAGATGAAGACACCGCTTTGACGGCGGCGAGTGACCCATTGCGTTAAGGTGTACGAACTAGCGCATATACTGTGATCATGAATAAACAAAACAATCGCCGCAAGGTGTCACTCGACGTGGCATCTTGCGACCGTCTATGGTCAAATAAGAATGTCTTGAAGTGGGAAGCACATCATAAGTCTTGCTGCGCTAAAAAAAAAAAAAAATTTTCGTCGTCCACAATGTGCGCACGATCCTCAAAAACGCTTCCTAGAATCCTCGCGCTCTACGGGAAACTTGGCTGCTAACGTTGTCGGTGCTCCAAGGTTTAAATGGCTGCTTGGCCAAAGCCGTAGATCATTTTTCCTGCCGAGTTGACGGTGATCAAGACCATCGTGATAATGAGCAATTTCAGCAGGAGGCCCAGGATGAACTGCGAACGAGAGAAAGACGCGACGACAAAGTATTACGGGCAATCTATTCTGGACGTAGCCTCCTATATACTGAAAAAAGCATGGCAGATCGCCGCGAGAAGCGGCCGCCCAAAATGGAAAAGGTGGAGCGGCAACGGACGAGAGTAGAGCTGCGTGACTAGCGCCCCGCTCCGGCGAGACGCCGAAATACACTTCTCCCGAGCGAACAAGTGTCTTTCGGGTCCTCGCCGCTGCAAAAGCTGCGCTCTGACGTCCAGGTTCACCGAGAAATGACTCTTTGATGTCTGTGCTACAAGATCCTCGCGCTATAAGTCTGCGACCGGGCACACTATGGCTCGGTCGTCGAACTGCCAGGCTTTGTGAGTATAGAGGAGGCTATGGTTCTGACCGTTCACACGCGTCAGCTCGCGTGAGCAACAGCGCGCGCTTGCGATCAAGACAAAATTGCAGCTAACAACCGCGTGTCTTTGTTTTAGTGCTCGCATCGAGGGCCAGCGTGGTTTTCGTCATAATTTGACTGCTACAGTCACTGCCAACTTTAGAAAAGGCGGGCGTGGCTTATGAGGATCACGTTTTTGTACTTCGTGACTCATCCCGAAGCGAGACTGATGCGCCCAGGACTTACTACGCCCTGCTTTTCTTGGCCTGTCAGTGAACTTCAGTTAAAGTGAGAAAGTGTCGTCAGCAGTGGCGGACCCTCTTTTGATTTCTGCACGTATAAAATTGAGGGGGGGGGGGGGGGGGTATTTTTTTAAACATGTTATACGCTGACCCTCTCCAGAGAAGATACCTGCATCCGCCCAGCTGGCCGTCAGTATTCCAGACGGGGAACTAGCGTTGTAATATACAGTGGCAGGTGAAAACTATAGCTGCTACACTAAACAAGCAGAGAAACGACTGAATTGTCTAACCGTGCCATTGCGCAGTGATGTCACATTATGGGCACATCTATGTGACCCCTGCTGTCTGAGATATCGAGGTCTCACTTTAGTCGGGCAACGAAACAACACTCTGAGTCTTCGCCGTTACTTTTGTTCTTGTCTTTGGTTTTAAAACAACGTCTATAGTTTGTATTGTACTTTTTCGGGAACAAAAATGTGAGTTTATTTTGCAAATATACATCGGTGAAAAGCGTGTCGTCTTAAATATCATGGTAGAAAGATATGTCATGTCAGGATTAAACTGGAGGCTATCATTTATTCTTTCCTTCTTTTCTTGTCCGCGCCAGGAGTGCGAGCGGAACACGAAGCATTCCTTGGCCCGTTCGGATACTGCACAGACTTCATCTCTCAATTTTCGATCATTGCTCAGTCAACTCACCGGTCTTCTGATAAAAGTATACCAGCTCTGGCTGTGGAAGGATTGGCACCAAACTCGTTCATATTTAGTCATTTTTCTGCGATTTTTTGCCATATCTCAGAATTTAGTTTTGAAACTGAAACTTTTTGAACAGTATTTCATGCTTTGTTCAATTTTAACAGAAACATTTGAGCTCAACTATTGTAAGTCTTTGTTTTAAATACGCCCGGAAATTTTCTAAATATCGAAAATGTAATAATTGTGCAATGTTTGAACGGCAATAAAAAAAATACTTATACACTCTATTTTCTCTAAACTTCCCTCGATGAACTTTTGAAAAGTGGTAATTAAAAATCCGCGAAAATATGTTGTATTATTTTGTTTTAAATTAGGAAAACAAAGGTAGCCAGGTTTATGTTGCAGTTAATTACCATTGGAGGGCTTATGTCTCAACCACTAGTGGTACTCGAGCACCGCATCCACAGTGGCTGTACTTGGTCCCATCGTCTCCCAGACACCACGGATCATTATACTAAAAATCTAAAGAGATTTTTTTTTTTTTTTTTTTTATTAAAGATGTGGTTGATATTGGCTAAGAAAGCTGAACTTTACGGTACGTTCAGCTTTGAGGCCGTTGTACTTGGTAGATTGCGCTGCACTGTGCTACTTTTTCATTGCAGTACTTTACTGTCAGCAGTATACTGACCAAATTGCTCGATTCATTACTCTAGCCATTACAATACTCTGTTTCTAATTACGTTGAACTGTAGCGGAGGTTACGATCGCCATCTCGGCCAATTCAGCGTTTCAAGTGACAAGGCATCAATGCGCCCCTCTCCAAGGTCACGTGACGCTAACACGTCACTCATCACTCATCTGGCACTACTTTACAGAGCAACGGCGCCGCTTTACAAGAGCTGATATCTCCAAAAAATCAACAGTTGCACGCGCAAGCGAAAAAAAAAAAAAAAAAAGCACGCCAAGAAAGCAAAGAGGACAACGAAAGTAACAAACCTCGTTATGAAAGCCAAAACCCCGCGTCACTGCCTATCACTAACACCTGCGACAGCTGCTAAACACACACTACTTCACTTCAGGAAGTCTCATTCAAGGACCTGGGTCAACACGAAATACTGATCACTTAAGGCTCGTTCACACTCTTGCAGCCGAGTACGACCGAGAGAGACGAGACCGGTTTTTAAGCCTTTTGCGACTTCTTAGGACCGGGTGCTCTGCAGCGGAGCTGTCCTAAGAGATCGCAAGAGGCTTAAAAACCGGTCTGGTCTCTCTCGGTCGTTCTCGGTTGCAAGAGTGTGAACGGGCCTTCAGGCGAAACGACTAGTCGAGGTAGGCGAGACATGCGGCAGCAGAGACTTCGGCGCCCATGAAAGAATGGTGAAGCTTTTGTTTGTTATGGTATGAATCCAAACGGAAGTACCCGTCTTGTAAATATTTTGTAAATAATAATAACTCTAATTACATGAGTTATTGTTTAAACGTAAAAATATGCCGCTGAAGATGAAATTGCAACATATCACAAAGGTTTAATAACCAAGATCTAAGCTGTTAATCAATCTCTTAGCCAATGAGAAGAGTTGCTAGCACGTCACTCCGTGACGTATTGCAGCCACTCCGTGACGCATAACAGCCACTCCCTGACGTATAATACCAATTTTGTGGCGCGCGATTTAAAACGCACGAAATAGCTGCAAACTAAAATCAGTCTCGCTGTATTTTTCTTTTTTTTTGTGTGTGTGTGTGGAAAATTTATTTGTTTTTTACATGTTTGTCCCAATTAGGCTGTTTAAAAAACACCTTTTTTCTTTGCAGTTACCCTTTCACATCTCCTGTTCGTGTGCTTCGTTATGCTACGAGCCATACAAGTCAATCCAAGGTCGTGTTAGTGCCGTTTGACCTTCGAGAAGGGCGCTTCGACGCGGTGTCACTTGATACGCCGAGCTGGCTGAGATAGCGGTCGTAACGACTACTACAGTCTATCGCAATTAGAAACGCAGTACAGTAATGTCTAGAGAAATTAATCGAACCATCTTGTCCTTCGACTACCCGCAATAAAGCACCACCCCGGGAACGTAGCGCAGTGCAGTGCAATTAACCAAACAAAGCACCCTAAGTACCGAAGGCGCCGCCAAATTCGGTTTCCGAAAAAAAAAAATATATTAACCACATTGCCAAAAAAAAAAAAACACATTTTACGTTTTCTTTTTTTTGTGTGTGTGTTTTATGGTGTCTGGCGGATAATGCAACCAAGTACAGTCACTGTGGATGCAATGCTTGAATAACACTGGTGAACGAGACATAAACCCCTCTAAAGTTGAGGCTTGGGCGAGTTGGTATGACGTACTTCAGAATTTAAAAACGGCGCAAAAAACGATTGACCGCATGAAGGCAGACACAGACAGAGCGCTGTTTCTTTGCCTGCCCTCACGCGGTACGTCGTTCTTTTTTTTTTTTTTTTAGAGCGCAGCTTCTAGGCGCCCGTTTCCGGCTTGAGCGGCTTCGGCGTCGCCGTCGCCGTCGCCGCCGGCGTAACCGCGCGGTGCATTATGGGTAAATTTTTTCGAAGAGACCCGAGGACTCCCGAAGGAACCCGAGGTCCTTCGGGAGGACATCGGGTCCCTTCGGGAGGACCGCGGGTTTCTTCGGTAGGACCTCGGGTTCCTTCGGAAGGAATTCGGGTTCCTTCGGGAGTTGCATGCAACAGGTTGCATGCAACCTGTTGCATGCAGATGGCATACAACGAGTTTTATGCAACCTGTTGCATGCAATCCAGGTTGCATGCAACCTGATAACGTCATCGTCATCCGCATCGTCATCGTCATCATCACTGATGACGTCATCAGTGACGTCACTGATGACGTCATTGGCATCCGCATCGTCATCGTCATCATCACTGATGACATCATTGGCATCCACATCGTCATCGTCATCATCACTGATGACGTCATCAGTGACGTCACTGATGACGTCATAAAATTGTCATCGTCAAGGTCACGTGACCCCTGAGGTCACATGACCCCCTAAGGTCACGTGACCCCACTGAGGTCACGTGACCCCCTGGAGTCACGTGAACCCCCTGAGGTCACGTGGCCGCCTGAGGTCACGTGATTCTCCTGAGGTCACGTGACCCCCCTCCCCCGAGGTCACATGACTCCCTTGACGTCACCCGACCTCCCCCGTGAGGTCACGTGACCTTAAAGGACACATGCAAAGGAAAAAAACATTTTTTTTAAACGGTTTAGATGGAAAAAGGACGCCATAAAACGATTTTACAACGAAGAAAAAAAATTTTAGAGCTGTATTTACGGCGCAAAACGAATTTGTAGTTGGCACCCGCGGGCACCGCGGAAAAGTGGTCCGTATTTATCACGTGACTGGTCTTTATTTATCACGTGGTGCATGCGTTCTTTTGGAAGCTTCCTATGGCCTCTAAAAGTAACTTATTCATCTTTGTTTGAAGTATAACAAAAAACTAAGATGAATAAGTAACTTTTAGAGCCCAAAGGAAACTCCTGAAAAAGCGCAAGCAGACCTGATAGACCTGTGCGCCGGTCAGACGACGGCGGCGGCGCCCCGAAGCAGACGAACTTGTGCGGCGGCGGCGACGGCGGCGTGGAGAAACGCGTTGAAGCAGCGTTCGCACAACGCTCAGCGTGCGGCGGCGACGCATCGCGGCGGCGCGCGGGCCTACCACGTGACCAGTGGCGGCTCCCGCGAGCGCCAACTACAAATTCGTATAGCGCCGTAAATATAGCTCTAAAAATTTTTTTTCTTCGTTGTAAAATCGTTTTATGACATCCTTTTTCCATCTAAGCTGTCTAAAAAAAATGTTTTTTTCCTTTGCATGTGTCCTTTAAGGAGTCACCTGTCCCTCAGTACGCTTCCATCCTCCTCCTCAAGAGCTGCGCTCCAACCGGCGCTACAGGGAATTGTAAACGGCTTTCATTTCTTTTTTGCGCTGTTTTTATCGTCTGAAGTATAAACCCTACACCGGTAATTGACTGACACATAAACCTATGAAAACGTGTATCTTTTCTTTTTGTAGCCAATTTAGTACAACAAGTTTTTACGGATTTTGAATTACCCGTTTCGAAGGCTTTATCCAGAAAAGTTTAGAAAAATATCGAGGATTTTTTGTTTAAACTGTTGCACAAATATTTCACAATTTTGACTTTTTATATATTTAGAAAATTCGCAGGCGCAGTGCAAAAAGCATTTAGAATAACTGAGGGATAACATTTTTGTTCAAAGCTAAAAAAAACATGAAGCTCTCTGCACAAAAAGTTTCAGCTTAAAAACTTAATTCTAATATGTGTTAAAAAATCGCAGAAAAATGTTTAAATAAAGAAGAGTTGCCCAAGAAGTCAAGTTTTTCATTTTATTTTATTTGGAATATAAATTTATATAAAATATATCTAACTAGTTCAAGTAGACCAGGCGTCGTGCTTTATACATAAACATGTTTACGTTCCAGAAATTTGCATTGTGTACTCCTGTGGCCCTCGAAGTTGCGTTTACGCGCAATTGGGAAAATGGTTCTTCCACCTCCTCTCGGACGCGATATTTTTTTTTTCACAAAAACAATTAAGATTTCTTTTTTAAGTAGTAAGGTTTATTTTATCGTATGGACAGGTTTTGCTACCTTATATAAAATTTAAGTGAGAACAAAAAAATAGGCATGACACCCCTATGACCGTCTTTCTCTGAACACGCCCTACAAGAGCAATTCGGATTCTTACTGAAAGCGCATACGCTTTCAGTAAAGTTTGAAAAAAAAAAAAGATAAAAGAGAGATATTAGTATACACTACGCATGGGCCCTTGAAGCATGGAAGTCGCGCCAGTATCTTGACGCGGTTATTTTTTTTGGTACTCTGCTTGCACTTGAACTTGCTTGATTTGAAGGAACGAGATTATCACTTTCCGTTTATTATCACAATATTGTCGCGAATAACGATTGATGAGGCGACGAAAACTTAAATAAACGTTTAATGGGGCGAACTTGTGCCCAAAACAGAAAGGAAACAGAAGGGAACTATTGAGTGTCGCGGGCGTCAATAGCGGCGTAACAGCAGGATTGATCGCTGGGGCGAGACTGACTCCGGCTCGCCACGCGGAGCACCGTTTGTACCCGCGTGTGTCTCTGGAACATTCATCCTAGAACATTCGGCGCGTAGAACATTCAGAACTCGATCAGACGAGGATGTTCTCGAACTTACGAGAGCGTCAGGTTGAAAGAATAAATAAAAGGGCAGTCCTCTAACTAGAATCGAACCTATACGTTCCGCGCGACAGTCAAGCACGATAACCATTCGGCCACACACGCGCTCGCTTTGCGACGCGCATGGCAATATATCGACTACAATAAATCATGATTCCTGAAAAAAGAAGTGACCAGGCCATTTTCAGTAAACGTAAAGTACTCACCAGCTTCAGGAAGGACACTCTGGCCACCTCATGCAAGATGACTAGCGGCACAGACGCAGGCATGATGAGATTGCTGAAGGCTCCAACGATGACAGGGATTGCATAGTACGTTGGGTACATGTTCTTAAACGTCGCCTGCCGTTGAAAAAAAAAAAGCGTTTTAGCCGGAAACACATTTGCGAAAAAAAACCGAATTTTGTGCGAAAACCGCAGACGAAAGTCGCACGGCAGCTAGGCTCCTTTTCCCTTGCTCCTCCCCTTTTCCGAAAATCGGGACGGGACGGAACGAAAAGAAACGATCGGCTCGCAACATGGCGGCTCACGCAGCTTCGGAAGCACCGCAGGCACATCGTATGCCATCCCTGCGTTCTCATCTCAACCTTCGTGGAAAACCCCTTCTTTCTCTATCAAAGGGTGGTGGTACAAAGGCTCGCGTGGCATTCGACGAGGTTTTAATAGCTGAAGTGTTTAAGAGGCGCGAAATATGGGACGCCAGTTCGCCAGACTACCGCACAGCCTCCTGAAGTCGGAGCACGAAAACCGCAGTGCATTGCGATTTCCGCGCCGCGCATTCCACCTTATGTGGTTCGTCTTCCGAAAATCGCAAGCAACGATTTTCGCAGCCTCCGATTTCTCTCCGATTTTCGGTTCGTTTTTTCGCAAATGTGTTCCCGGCTTTAGGAGCGGTTTTTTTTTTTTTTTTTTTTTTGTTGTTTTATGGCAAGTTTGACAAGTCTCTTGAGTATTGTTACTGAAAGTGACTGAATGTCAGGGGAAGGGGGGAGCTCTTGTTTGTCATACGTATACAAAACAAATAAATTAGTCGTTTGTTGTTTAGACAATGGGAGTTTAGTCTGTCAGAGAGGGTGACAATATTTCCCACTGTAGATGAGAAATTTACTACTTTGCCAGTGCAGTGCGACTGCTAGCCTTGGGTATTGAACTTGCATCACGCAGTAGTGATACACGACCGCACGCCGGTACGATGCTCATCCAGATCGAAACGGGCAGGGGTGGGGATTGTACCTAGGATTCCTGGGGTTCTGCAGCGCGAGCTTTCGCGACACGTGCTCCGAGCTGGTCTGCGTTAGCACACTTGGTTGCCGATCCCCCTCGTCGTACTTATAGCGCTAGCACGCCGCTGTTGTGTACCCCAGTTAGAAGGCGACGAAGCAGACCCGGAGCTCGGCCCTTCTCCTCGTGGTGGGCTTCGGCCTAGTTAATGGCAGACTCTATCCCTCACTTTACCTCATGTGCACAAAGCTGGGTACAGGGCCGTACCCAGAAAAAAATTTCGGGGGGGGGGGGGGGGGGGGGGGGGTTTTGGGGACAACGGCGGCCATTTTGAAAGTGTCTATTGTCTTATTTTCGCCTATGAATCATGTGCATCGGTGGCATATAATGGAGAGTTGCAGCAAACCGGAGAACCGGTCCCGGTTTGGTACCCGGTAGCCGACCGGCGCCACTGCGCGTGCGCAGAGGTGGAGATTAAAATCGGCTGGCTGCAAGTGCACCGACCAGGGCCGTACCCAGAAAAAAATTTCGGGGGGGGGGGGGGGGGGGGGAATCAGAACCCCCTATCCCCCCCCCCACCCCTGGTTACGGCCCTGGCTGGGTAAACCCATCTATCACAAAACAGACGCCTTTCGTGTGACTGTGTACGCTGTGCAGACCGCGGGATTGTTCGCTATTAATTTGAAGTTGTTTGAATCCATTCGGCGTACGGATCACAGCCTGTAACCTGGTTTTAGGTGTGGACTGCGCGGCTGCAAGGTGGCGAAGGTACAACTATACTGCCGTATTTGGTGAACGCGTGCATAACATCAAACCTTCTTCCTGATTGAGCGCAGCACTTACAATGTTGGAGACGATGGGCATCATCCCTTGAACGAGTTTTCTCTTGTCGGTTATCTCCGCCAGAAGGGACGCCATGGTGGCGAGTATCATCTGCACCCCGAGCGGGGATGTCCGCACCCAGAACGTCCTGTCGAAATGGTTGAAGATTTCCCCCAGAAGATCGCACGTCTAGACAAAGATACACATTTTATTATGCGCTTTTGCACATTACGAGGATTTCCAGAAATTTTTATACACCTTTAGATTGGATTTTCTGACCACTCTCCGCAAGAGGCGTTTGATCGTATCCCATTCCCCTCGAAATGCTGCATATTGTTCACGAAATATGAAATCTCTGATCAACCGGAATGTGAACACTGACATTTCAAGAGAACGGCTACAAATATATAGCTGCTTCATTAAATGACAATATTGAGTTGTTACAATGAAGGGGCGCAAAAAGATACACATCTAGACGACTTTTAAGTGGGCAATGAATTGAAACATTTAAGTGGAAGTAAAACCTCGAAACAAATATTAATTTATACACCTAATTTTGCTTCCCCTTGCGAATCAATCGATATAAGGTTGAGATGTAAACCGGGTCAATACATATTCTCTTTATTGTTTTCTAGATTACCACTTTTCCGGAGGAAGTAGTAATTCCTTTAAAAGGGATGCCCGCCTCTTTCAGTGTATCGTTTTTTCTATGAACAGGACCAAAACGAAAGAAACTGATATTGCATTAGGAATCGCTTCCAATGGTATTCTGAAATAGGTCACAGGTCAGTTCAGTCGCAGAAACATAACCTAGATCCAGCATTAGCGTGCCTCAATGGTATAGCAGAAATTAGTTCCTGTTACCTGGACGAGCTTCGAAGCAACTTGTACCGAGCCGAAGAGAAAGACGATTCCCCATGGAATTTCGCTCCAGGTTTTGTGTGAGCCGGAGAGTCGGCCCTCGTTGTGGCACCTCAGTGATGTGACCAGCAGCGCCACTGAAGGCAGCATTCCTAGAAGGGCGACCCTAATTAGGGTTCAGAGTGATATGCGAATTAGGTGCGTGGTATCCTATATACGTAAGGTCTACTTCACTTACGTGCGCTGTAGCTAAAAGTATACGTGATGCTAAAAAAAAAAAAAAAATTAAAGGGCGACGCAGTATTTTTTTAACTTTCTGTAAATGCAGTTTTAAATGAATACTTGACATTCATAACCTATGAAACACGGGGTAGTCTTTAGTTCTACGCAATACCGGTCGCAAAAAAATAATAAAAAAAATACCAGGAACGTTCGCCCCGTCAACTCGCATCCAGAAGGAGCGTCCACGTGATCTGGAGCCAATCATGTGCCGACAATGTTTATCATAGTCACGCACTGGGGTTGGCAAAGCACAGGGAACGCGCCGAGTTCCACATAATGTTAAGGTTCGGCTATTTCCGTCATCGCAGCGATTGGTCGCGAGTCGCTACCCGAACGCATGTCGATGCATTGATTCTCATGAGCCCACATCGATTGCTCACGCAGTTCTGGTGTCCACAGTATGAGTCACGTTTAAATATCGTCACCGTGGGGATAGCGAAGTATGAGGATGATATCATATGGGGATCGAATTATTGACAACACACACGATGCGATCCCCGCAACTTTATCATCAAGTTTTGCGAAGGAGAGACGGAACGAAAACGTCCGCTTTTATCCGTGAAATAAAGCAGTGACAAAGCAGCTTCGTGGTCAGTGGGGTTGCGCGCGAGTATCCTTGTGTCCCACTAGTTCCAGTACGCTCGAGTAAACTGAGGAACATTCGTACACAATATCGTTGCATGGCCCCTTTTATGGGATACTGAACCGAAATTTGGATTTCGCAAAGTAAGGCTGCAGAAGTGTTGAACCGGACGCTACGAACTCCAAAACATCACTCGTACATCGATATCTCAAACGGATGGCCGTACCTTTGGTAAAGAAGGGCGCGATCAAGCGAGTTCTTTGACGTAACTGTCCTCCGGGAGAATTTGAGAATGAGGAAAAGCAACCTCGCTTCTCTCCTCCTCGCTTCGGTTCACCAGCTTGACGAGACGTAGCGCGGAGGAGAGAGAATGGGAATCGTGACGCGCGTTGGTCTCGTCGGCCCGCCGGCCGGGTTCAATCACGCACTTCCTTTCCACAAAATACGGCGATCCGTTAGATATATCGCCGTATGAGTGATATTTTTGGTTTTGCAGCTTCCCGCCTATCCGCCCGGCCTTGTTTAGTGAGCTCGAAATATCGGTTCAGTATCCTTTTAAAGGGACACTGACACCCCTCAAAAAAAAATTTTATTTTTTGCCAGACGCTTCATTATGGTGTCGGAGGACTACCCAATTAATATTTTGCAACAGAGTAGCGTGTTTTTTTAATAAAGCCAAAAGACGCAACTGCTCGAAACCGAAACCGAAACCCGACGGAGGTCGGTGAAGTGGGGAGAAGAGAGTGAGTGGCGGAAGTCACGTGGCTACACCCGACCGTGCGTGTTTCTTCTTTTCTTTTTCTCCTCTCCGTAGCAGACGACACGATATGCGGCGTGCGGGAACTGCTCGCCGTGCGATACTTTTGCAGTTATGTTTGTTCCGCTCGTTGTTCTGTACTCCAAGATGAGTTGTTTTGTACATTGAGGAGGTGGAGATGAGTAGTGAGTGCCCGTGGTGAATTTCCATGATCGGCTCCGAAAAGAATACACCCAAGATGTTGCGTGAAGAGCTGGCTCACATGTCCTGCATCCGAAAAAAAGTGGCATTGTGCGACAGAGTTTCCGAAAGATCAACGGGATCGGGACCAATGGCTGGCTGCAATTCCTGTAGAACATATACGGGCACCTCGGAAAGCGGACGCTACCTGATTTATATGCTCCTTGCATTTTGTGGAAAGTGATTACATTGAGTTCGCAGGTGTCAAAACGGAAATCCCATACCATTCAATTCAGCGAAGTATCGTCCACAACATTTGTTTGTTTCTTCAGTGATGATTGTAAAAATAATAAAAAGATATGTAAACATCAGAAATGTTTGAAAAAAGAAAAAAAAAAAAGAGCTTCACGGGGGATCGAACCCGGAACTACCGCATGTGAACCGGACATCTTTCCCACTGAGCTACTGGGGCTTTTTTTTTTTTTTTTTTTCTTTATTGCCTGCTTAGACAGGTTTTTTTACAATACACACAAAAGGGAAAGGCTAAAGCACTTCAGCCGTACGAAGGCCGTGGCGGTTAAAAGCGTTTAAAACTGGCCAACTGATCCAACACTGGTAACCAGTCTGGAGGCTCGGCGAGGGCGCGATAAACTTCTCTTACATAGACAATGTTTTCAATAAAGTTTTCACGCACAGTGCGAACATTCACGTCTGCGTGTCGTAAACTCATTCTCGTCTTCCACATACCGTGGAGACTCAATAACATAATCATATCATACGGAATTTCATCTTCATTTTTCACAGCCAGATAACGAATACCGCGTGGGTTGACAGGTAAATCTTTTTTGAGGGTGCGCTGGAGGATGTCCCAGTGGAACACAGCGTCCCAACATTCGATAAACACGTGTTCTACGGTTTCGGCTTTTTTACACAATAAACAATTAGTGGACCAGGGGACAAATAAACCCTTTTCCTCCAGCCAAGTTTTCACCGGAAGAACGCCACAATGTAATTGAAAGAAAAAGGTTTTAACGCATGGCCTGACCGGCATTCTTTTCACTCTTTTTAGTACGTCTAAACCACCGCCGACACAGTATAATGATCTATACAATGGTATAGGAAACAAAACATCGACTAAATCTTTATACAATTTTTTCCTTGAAACTGTAGCCAAATATTCCATAGAAAAACGGACTTTCAACATGCGGAAAGACCATAAAACTTCTTTCATGTACCCATGAACACCTGCGCCTATTACAACACCGGATGACACAACAAATTCAGGCAGAAAACTTTGCAGGCGAACTTGAATTACAGTACGTAAGAAGGGGTCGTTTTGATCCCTAAGAAACATAAATCTCGAAACAATTTGCCTTATAAATAAATGTACTAGCCCTAGTCCGCCACTTCGCACTGAACGAAAAAGATTTGTGCGGGCACAGCGCTCCCAATTTGAGTTCCATAAGAAAACAGCAAGAACTCTGTGGAACTTCTGCACATTGGCCCGAGACATATAGAGTACCTGTAAGACATACCAAATCTTCGCAATCAAAAAAACATTACACACAGTGGAACGCGCGAAAATAGACAAATCCTTCCCCCTCCACCCTTCCGCCTTTGTTCTAACGTTCTGAGTCTCTTCATTCCAGTATGAAGTACTGTCACGATAATGCACTAACGGCACACCTAGATACTTGGTGGGTAAACTCTCCCACCTAACATTCATAAAAACATTTGGTTTTCTATCCCAATCACCGTGCCAAAACCCTACCGTTTTGTCCCAATTAATGACACTCCCGGTTTTCGCACAAAAAGAAGAGGCAACCTTGACAATTTCGCGAATACTTTCTTGATCCACGCAAAGAACCGCAAGATCATCCGCATACGACATGACTTTTACTTCATTCGCGTTTAGCTTAAAACCACGTACGTTATCGTTTCGAAGAAGTCTCAAACAAAACGGTTCTAAAAATATAGCAAAAAGCAAGGGCGAAAGTGGGCAACCTTGCCTAACTGAACAACGTATCTCAATGCTTTCTGTAACTCTCTTATTTACAACTAAACTTGTAATGCAATTTTTATAAGCCATCTTCAAACCTTCTAACAGAATGTACCCTACATTGGTGTGTTTCAAAATACGAAAAAGTATTTGGTGCGAAACACGATCGAACGCTTTCTCAAAGTCGAGTTGCAACATTGCTACTCGGCCTTGAAAGGCGTCGCAGCATTCTAAAACGCTTCTAGTTACATGTATATTCGTGCAAATCGTACGGCCTTTTATGCCGCACGTCTGATGCGGCCCTACGAGTACTTTAATAACCCTTTGTAATCTTTTAGCTAAAATCTTCATGTAAATTTTATAATCAACGTTTGTTAAAGTAATCGGCCTGTAAGATCCCACTGACAAGAGTTTCACCGAATCATTGTACTTAGGGATAAGCACAGTGTGCGTCCTAAGAAAAGATAGGGGTAACATCTGCTTCTCATAGGCTTCGGTCACTACCTCATACAGCGCAGGCGCCACCGCATGCTTAAAAGACTTATAAAAATCTGCACCAAGGCCGTCCGGCCCTGGGGTCTTTCCACTCGTCAGCTCATCGATGGCAGCTTCGATTTCCGGCACGGTGATAGGCACCTCTAGGCTGTCGCACACGTGCTGTTCTAGCTGGGGCATCAAAAACAAAAAATCCGCATCGAACCCGTCGTCTACTGACGCGATACGCCCAAACAAATTTCGATAATGCTCCACAAAAGCCCTTTCAATAACCGCCCTGTCACGCGTCACCGTGGTTCCGTAACAGATTTCCCTGATATCGTTACGTTGCGCGTAACTTTTTTCGTCGCATAGTGCGCGCTTCGTCGGAGCTTCACCCATCCACAGCTTGTCGCTTCGAGCCCTTACTATCGCTCCTCTGTATTTCTCGACATCGATCAGTTCCAATTTACTTTTACATTCTTTTATTTCGCGCATAAATTCACCGGGATTTGCGCTCTCTAGTGTTACAAAACCGTTTAACTGACGCCGTAAAACATCCTCTTCTTTCTTTTTCTGATAGTTAAGGGTGCTGCTTCTCTCGATTGCAGCCATCTTTACTTCTTCTTTAAAAAGATCCCAACGAACAGCCCACAATGCATTATCGTTACCATATAAATTTTCAAAAAGAGTACTCACACTTCCTCTAAAAGGTTCATCCGTAAGAATACTACTGTTGAGCTTCCACAGTGCCCAGTCCCATTTAGGTGATTTTGTCTTATTGCCAAGAGTAAACATGACTAACGCATGATCACTGAAAGACATGTGCTTAACAGAGTAATCGCTACAAAGAGGTAAAAGATCAAGAGAAACATAG